TATTGATGAGGTTCCCCCCCCCCCCATACTAAGGTATAAAATTTACAAAATGCAAACAAGGGAAATTAGTTTTCATCACTACCCTATATGGTTTTTGCTTTTTCAATTTAGGCAATAATGTGACTATTAATTAGGGGTTTTTAATTACATTTTAACTGTGAAATTGGGTATTTAATCAGCATGGCTTTGGTTTGGAACATAAAGGAATCTTTCACAGTGTGCATTTAGAGTTATTCACAACAGTTTTTTGAAAAATGACATCACTGTAGATGTTCATATCATAAAACACCATGGATCCTCTCAGAACCTATTTTTCTCTTGTGTAGTTTTATACTTGATGGGGATGAGCTGTTGAAAGGGGTATGTGTATATGCAGTGGATGTGGGTTTGGGTCCAGTTGAGATCGTGGGTAGTAATGATGGGAGTAGAAAGGAGAAAGGGCAGTTGAGACGACTTGGTTATTTAATTGGGTAAGAATTTGGTGGTAATTATTGGTAAGTTCAAGGAAGTTAATTCTGTAAGCTAGAGATGTTATTTATAATTAGGATACTTCATATATTTAATAATGAGCGTTCGACAGTCCAGCTTTTCAAAATTAGAAATTGAGGGATAAATGGGTAACATAAAATCTGTTACATATGACAGTATCTTTTTTCCTCTAGACAATGATTGAAGCTCATGTTGATGTCAAGACTACCGATGGTTACTTGCTTCGTCTGTTCTGTGTTGGTTTTACTAAAAAACGCAACAATCAGATACGGAAGACCTCTTATGCTCAGCACCAACAGGTCCGCCAAATCCGGAAGAAGATGATGGAAATCATGACCCGAGAGGTGCAGACAAATGACTTGAAAGAAGTGGTCAATAAATTGTAAGTGTTTCTTTCCTTCCTCACACAACACAACCTTGAGTACGAGATTATTCCTCAGATGAGGGAAAGTATATGAGACAAGGTAAAGGTCTGTTGAAATCTTGTCTGGGAATCATTCTAGCTATGTCCCTTTAAGTGAAAGAGTGTTAAGTACTCAATAAATATCATTATTATTTGAGTTGGTCTCGCTCTGTTGCCCAGACTGGAGTGCAGTGGTGCAGTCTCGGCTCAACCAGCATTTCCCTGGTACAAGCAGTTCTCAAGCCTCAGCCTCCTAAGTAGCTGAGAATACAGAGGCCTGCCACTATTCCCAGCTAGTTTTTTTAAATTTTTAGTAGAGATGGGGTTTCACCATGTTGGCCAGGCTGGACTTGAACTCCTGACTTAAGGTGAGCTGCTAGTACTCTGTAAATGCGATAGTTAAAAAAAAATTTTTTTTTTTAATGAAGCTGTCTCACAGTAGAGTTGAAGGGCAGGAAATGTTTTTGCCGACTTGGGAAATACACTGAATAAGCTGAGTGCAGTGGGACGTGCCTGGAGTCCCAGATACTCAGGAGGCTGTGGTAGGAGGATTGTTTGAGCCAGCCTGGGCAGTATAGGGAGACCCTGTCTCAAAACCAGAAAACATACATATAGATACACACACACATACACAAACATATGGACACACACAAAGATAGATAAAACCTTTCATGATTAATAATGCATGGGAATAAGTGATGAAAAAAGTTTCGGTCCCATATGATGGCCAGTGATAACTTATGTTTTCTGATGTTCCCGTGCAATATACAGTTAAATAAGAAGGTGTAATGGAAAAAGTATAAGGCTTGGACTCAGAAGACTCATATAACTTTGCCACTAGCTAGCTGTGCAATTCAGATCATCTGTCCTTTCGGTGTGAAAGGAAGATAATAGCTTATCTTATAGGAGGATTTATGCAGGTTAAATGAGGTAGGTGTTACATGTGTAGGTTTATTACAGGGCTTCCCTACTTTTAAAGGAAATGGCTTATCCCCTTATTATCTGAGAACTAGGACTTGGTGAAAAAAAATTCACTGTTACTGGTTTGCAGGATTCCAGACAGCATTGGAAAAGACATAGAAAAGGCTTGCCAATCTATTTATCCTCTCCATGATGTCTTCGTTAGAAAAGTAAAAATGCTGAAGAAGCCCAAGTTTGAATGTAAGTGAGGAATCACATGATTCTCGTGGGGCCAAATACATTGTTTCTGGGTGGGGGAAGAGGAGTTGGGGCCATTTCATGGCCTTCTTTTTCTTATGTCATGCTTGCATAGTATGCATAGTAGTGGTGACCATTGTTTCAAGATACACTATCACTAACAGGGTTTTTTTTTTTTTTTTTTTGCCTTTTAGTGGGAAAACTCATGGAGCTTCATGGTGAAGGCAGTAGTTCTGGAAAAGCCGCTGGAGATGAGACAGGTGCTAAAGTTGAACGAGCTGATGGATATGAACCACCAGTCCAAGAATCTGTTTAAAGTTCAGACTTACAGTAGTGGCAAATAAAAAGTTATTTGTGATGGTTTGCTTCTGAACATTCTTTTTTAAAAAAATAATCTGGCCGCTTGGTGAATAAGATAGTAAATTTGATAGCTGGTAAACTTTCCTGACCTGTTGTATGGAGTTTACTATCTTCTGATTCTCGCTAGACATAAAGTGAACAGACAAACTGGATATAAACTTACTACTATGCACCTTTACCGTGAAGCTGAAATAAATGGGGCAGAGAAGCTGTTAACCAGTGGGCATTTAGTGCTATCCCCTTCCAGTCACTGGATCATTCAGTTTCTGCCTCTTTAAGCCTTCAGTTTTCTCATTTGCTTAGCTGATAACCGTGCTTCCTATAGTCACTAAAAAAGTTGTAAAGCAGATGAGAAAAGAAATTTTCACTACTTGTACTCTGCCGCCTACGCATCTGTTAATCATTACTGCCTTCTGTCATACCTCTGGATGGATTGTCCTAAGACATAAGACAGCCTTTTTTTTTTTTTTTTTGCCTAATCAGCCTCGTGGCTCCAGCAATTCACACCTTTATCAATTCCTTTTCACTGTCCTTCCCATCACCATACAAACACTAGTACACCCTTCCAGAGCACCTTACTCAGCCCGTTTATGGCAAAGCTCAAAGGAATTTTTCATATAGCTGTATCATTTAATTTTTTTGAATTTTTAACACTTTTTTACACATAAATTATATTTTAGAGGCCAGGCACAGTGGCTTACATTGCTAATCCCAGCACTTTGGGAGGCTGAGGTGGGTAGATTGCCTGAGGTCAGAAGTTCTGGACCAACCTGGGCAACATAGTGAAACCCCATCTCTACTAAAAAAATTAAAATTAGGTGTGGTGGTAGGCACCTGTAATCCCAGTTTCTTGGGAGGCTGATGCGTGTGAATCACTTAAACATGGGAGGTGGAGATTGCACCACTGCATTCCAGCCGGGGCTACAAAGTGAGATGGTCTAAAAATTATTGCCAGATATGATGGCTCATACCTGTAATCCCAGGACTTTGGGTCGCTGAGGCAGGCAGATCACCTGAGGTTGGGAGTTTGAGACCAACCTGACCAACATGGAGAAGCCCCATCTCTACTAAAAATAATGTTATGAGGCGTGGCGCATGCCTATAATCCCAGCTATTCAGAAGGCTGAGGCAGGAAAAACGCTTGAACCCAGGAGGTGGAGGTTGCCATGAGCTGACGTGCCATGGCACTCCAGCCTGGGCAACAAACTCAAAAGAGTATATTTTTGAATATATTTGTATCTTTATATATGGTGTGGTCATAGATCACTGTAACCTCATACTCCTGGGCTCAAGCCATCCTCCCTCCCAGGCCTGAGTAACTAGAACACAGGTCTGTGCCACCACACCATTCTTTAAAGACAGCCTCACTAGCCTTGCTCTGTCATCCAGGCTGGAGTGAAAGTGTGATTTTGGCTTGTGTCTCAGCCTCCCCAGTAGCTAGGATTATAAGTGCCCACCACCAGGCCTGCCTAATTTTTGCATTTTTTAGTGGAGTTGGGGTTTTGCCATGTCGGCCGGGCTCGTCTTGAATTCCTGCCCTCAAGTGATCCTCCTGCCTCAGCCTCCCAAATTGCTGAGATTACAGGTGTGAGCCACTGTGCCCAGCCCACCCTGCTAGTTTTTAATTTTTTTTTTTTTTTTTTTTTTTTTAAGACAGGGTTTCACCATGTTGCTCAGGCTGGTCTTAAACTCCCAACCTCAGGTGATCCGCCTGTCTTGGCCTCCAAAGTGCTTGGATTACAGGCGTGAGCCACCACGCCTGGCTGTTTTTAAGTTCTTTGTAGCTTCTTGGGTGTTATGTCCAGACCGGTCCCAAATTCCTAGCCTTAAGGGATCCTCCTGCCTGAGACTCCCAAAGTGCCAGGAGTATAGGTGTGAGCTGTGGTGCCCAGCCACATTTTTTAGTTTTTATTTTTGTTGAACTTGCTGCAGTTAGCCTTTTCCCCCACACCACTCCAAGAAACTTCATTGTCAAGATTAGCAGCGATTTTGTTGCTAAGTCTGGTGGTCTATTCTGTCTTTTTTTTGTTTGTTTTTTTTTGAGACAGAGTTTTGCTCTTGTTACCCAGGCTGGAGTGCAATGGCGTGATCTTGGCTCACCGCAGCCTCCGCCTCCTGGGTTCAGGCAATTCTCCTGCCTCAGCCTCCCGAGTAGCTGGGATTACAGGCACGCGCCACCATGCCCAGCTAATTTTTTGTATTTTTAGTAGAGACAGGGTTTCACCATGTTGACCAGGATGGTCTCGATCTCTTGACCTCGTGATCCACCCGCCTTGGCCTCCCAAAGTGCTGGGATTACAGGCTTGAGCCACCGCGCCCGGCCAATTTTCAGTCTTTTACTTGACCTCTATTAGTGATTTTGCTTGTTGTCACCTCATCCTATTATTGACTGTTGAAAATTGATTTCTTCCTGATTTTAACTGTCTTCCAGAACCTCAACTCAAAGCTTTTCCTTGTACGTCACTGGCTACTCCTTTACTAGCTAATTTCTTAAACTTTTAATCAGTTTTAGAAGGCCCTAGGGCTTGGTCCTTAGACATTTCTATACTCTCCCTACGTTCTTGATTTTAATGGAGATTTTTTTTTTCAGTCTCTGTAGAGACTCAAAAATTGCCAATGCCGACTATACTGCAAGTCATCACAGTGGGGTATTTGGAAAAGTTTTCAATTAACAATAATCATGCCTCAGATAAACCTCATCGGCTACAATACTGCCACTGCACAAAGCTTAATGGAGATTTTTATATTTCTAGCCTATACTTTTCTTTGGGAGATCCAGGTTTGTCTAAGTGCTTACTTGATATCCCCACTTGGATGTCAGGCATTTAACATACAATGTTCTAAAATGGTATCTCAATTGTACCCACCCTTTTGGTTGCCTAGGCCAAAATCCTCTGTGGTCATTCTTGACTATTCACAGTTGTTTCAAACTACATATATCTGGAGTCTAATCAGTTATTACCACCTTTCACTATTTGAAACAAGCCACCATTACTACTTGATTGTTACTGCCTACCTTGTCTCCCTAAGTCCTCTCTTGTGGAATTCTTTTATTTTTTGTGAACAGGATCTCTTTCTGTTGCCCAGAATGGAGTGCAGTGATGTAATCACAGCTTACTGCAGCTTTGCATTCCTGAGCTCAAGCGATCCTCCTGCCTCAGCCTCCTGAGTAGCTGGGCTCCAGGTGCATGCCACCATGGCTGGCTAATTTAAAAATATTTCTTGTAGAAATGGGGTCTTTCTATATTGCCAAGGCTAGTCTGGAACTCCTGATCTCAAGTGATCCTCCTGATTACAGGTGTGAGCCACTACACAGGCCCTGAAAGTCTGCTTTACATGATTCAAAGATCCCATGTGATTTTGTGTCTGACTTGTCTCTTTCTCATTCCCCTTGCCCTTCACTGTGCTTGAAATACTTTGGTTTATGTGGCCACAGTGTTTACCTTCACCTCCTTGAAGTCTCTGCTGTTTTTCTTTTTTGAAATGGAGTCTCTCTCTGTTGCCAGGCTGGAGTGCAGTGGCGTGATCTTGGCTTACTGCAACCTCTACCTCCCAGGTTCCAGTGATTCTCCTGCCTCACCCTCTTGAGTAGCTGGGTTTACAGGTGTGTACCACCATGCCCAACTAATTTTGTATTTTTAGTAGAGACAAGGCTTCACCATGTTGGCCAGGCTGGTCTTGAACTCTTGACCTCAGGTAATCTGTTCCTCTCCGCCTCCCAGAGGGATTACAGGTGTGAGCCACCATTCCCAGCCGGTATTTTTGAGATAGGGTCTGGCTCTGTCACCCAGCTGGAGTGCAGTGGCACGAGCTTGGCTCACTGCAGCCTCCACTTCCCAGGCTCAAGCAATCCTCCCACCTAGGCCTCCTCAGTAGGTGAGACTACAGGTGCCTGCCACCACTCCTGGCTAATTTTTGTATTTTTTGTAGAGATAGGGTATTGCCACGTTGCCTAGGCTGGTCTCCCATTTCCTGAGCTCAAGCAATCCACCAGCCTTGGCCTCCCAAAGTGTTGGGACTACAGGTTTGAGTCACTGTGCCCAGCCTGTTCTTTCAATATCTTTTGTGGGACAGGCGTAGTGGCTCAGGCTTGTAATACCAGCACTTTGGGAGGCCAAGCCAAGCAGTTGAGGTCAGGAGTTCCAGACAAGCTGATCAATGTGGAGAAACCCTGTCTCTACTAAAAATACAAAAATGAGCTGGGCTTGGTGGCATGGACCTGTAATCCCAGCTACTCGGGAGGCTGAGGCAGAATCACTTGCACTCGGGAGGAGGAGGTTGCAGTGAGCTAAGATCGAGCCACTGCACTCCAGCCTGAGACAGAACCAGATTCTGTCTCAAAAACAAAAACAAAAACAAAACTCTTTTGTGGGTAAAGTTTTCCTAAATTTCAGTTTTCAGTATTCTGTTTCCTTGCTTTGGTTCTCTGTATCAGGGACTTCTTTGACTATGATCTTATAGCAGCTACAGTTATAATTCCTAACTATCCATGTGATACAATCCTTAGTCCAGGCCGAGTTGGCAAATTGCTGCCTGTGGTAAATCTGGCCAGTTTCCATTTTTGAATAGTCTGCAAGCTGAGAATGGTTTTTACATTTTCATAGATTTGAAAAAATATTTTACTACGTGTGAAAATTATATGAAATTCAAAATAAATACAAATATCCACTAATAAAATTGTATTGGAACATAATCATACTCATTTATCTTTAAATATTGTCAGTTCCTGCTTTTTATTCATTTTTTTTGAGACGGAATCTCACTCTGCCGCCCAGGCTGGAGTGCAGTGACATGATCTCAGCTCACTGCAACCTCTGCCTCCCAGGTTCAAGTGATTCTCCTGCCTCAGCCTCCCGAGTAGCTGGGACTACAGGTATGTGCCGCCATGCCTGGCTAATTTTTTGCATTTTTAGTAGAGATGGGGTTTCACCATGTTAGCCAGGCTGGTCTTGATCTCCTGACCTTGTGATCTGCCAACCTTGGCCTCCCAAAGTGCTGGGATTACAGGCGTGAACCACTGTGCCTGTCCAGTTCCTGCTTTTTAAAATTTTAAATCTTTTTTTTTTTTTTTTTTTTGAGATGGAGTTTCGCTCTCGTTACCCAGGCTGGAGTGCAGTGGCGCAATCTTGGCTCACTGCAACCTCCACCTCCTGGGTTCAGGCAATTGTCCTGCCTCAGCCTCCTGAGTAGCTGGGATTACAGGCATGCGCCACCACGCCCAGCTAATTTTTTTGTATTTATAGTAGAGATGGGGTTTCATCATGTTGACCAGGATGGTCTCGATCTCTTGACCTTGTGATCCACCCGCCTCGGCCTCCCAAAGTGCTGGGATTACAGGCTTGAGCCACCGCGCCCGGCCTTAAATCTATTTTTAGAGATAGGGTCTCACTATGTTGCTCAGGCTGGTCTTAACTCCTGGACTCAAAAGGATCCTCTTGCCTCAGCCTCCAAAAGTGCTGAATTATAGGCACGTGGCACGGCCCCTGGCCGTGCTGCTTTTTGCACTACAACTGTAGAGTTGAATATTTGCCACAGAGACCACATGTGGAAAACTTATCACTTCATACTGAGGTGCACACTGCAAACTGCAGTGATACCGTGCTCAAACATTTTAAGCGCCACACGTTACCTGTGAAAAGACATCTTCAAAAATGAAATACAGGCCAGGCACTGTGGCTCACACCTTTAATCCAGCACTTTGGGAGGCTGAGGCGAGTGGATTAATTGAGGTCAGAAGTTCAAGACTAGCCTGGCCAACATGGTGAAATCCTGCCTCTACTAAAAATACAAAAATTAGTCGGTTGTGATGGTGTGCACCTGTAATCCCAGCTCTTGGGAGGCTGAGGCAGGAGAATCGGTTGAACCTGTGAGGCGGAGGTTGCAGTGAGCCGAGATTGCGCCACTGCACTCCAGCCTGGGTGACAGAGACTCAGTCTCAAAAAAAAAAAAAAAACACCAGGAAATACATTAAATCTCATGACAAATCATCATTTACAGATGAAAAGTTGCAACTGATTTTATAATGGGAATCACTGATTAAGCCCTAATGAAATTTATCCCCCATCTCAAAAAAAAAAACTTCCATTTTTTTCTCACTAGTAGATCTGTAGTTGGGGCTACAGGTGTGAGTCACCATGCCCTACTTTTTAAAATGTTTGTAGAGATGGTGGGGGGGGGGTCTCCCTATGTTGCCCAGGCTGGTCTTTAACTCCTAGACTCAAGTGATCCTCCTGCCTCAACCTCCCAAAGTTGAGATTACATTTGTGAGCCACCACACTATTTTTGCTGACGGGCTGTTGCCAATGGCCTAGACATCTGGTCTGCCACTTGAAAGGTAGACTAAAGACATCCCTTTTAAGGCTATGAACTATGAAAATAAACTGTAGCTGCCAACCAGAACATCTGGGTCACTCATGTAGATGACTATGGGTAAGGGCCAGTTCTCTTGATTACAGCTAGTGGAATCCAGCTGCTGATGAAGTTAGCACCACCTGGATTGTTCTCACAATGGCAACACATCCATGATGGCGGACTAGGCACCCAGTAAAGAACTCTTTCTCAGGCATGCCAATCTTGGTGACCCCTGCTGAAGTTAGCCCATTTGTCTGGAGGTAAATAAGACCATATTACTCCTGCTGAGCAGTCTAGGAAAAAAAATACAAAAAACAAAACAACAACAACAACAACAACAAAAAAAACCATATTACACAGGACATGGGCCCACTTGTTCCTAACTGATTGAGTACACTGGACCTTTGATCTCCTCTTAGGGCGACTCATGGGGGCGCCTCACTGCTGCTGAGACATTCTTAGGCTACGAAGTTGCTGTTCCAATCTCATCAACTGACTTTGACCACACAATTGCAGCTCTTGAAACTAATGTGTCACATATTCTTAGTCTTCCAAACTATATGCAGCCTGACAATGGGGCACCTTTGTACAAGGCCACTCAGCAGTGAGCCAAAAGTGAGATTATTTGATGAATATTTCACACTCCCTAACATCTGCAGATAACTGTATTGTTGAGCATTAAAGAGGTTACTGACTGTATCATCCTCACCTCCTCCTGTTCCACATACCTGATTAAGGTATTTGGGTCACAGAATGTGACAGTCCCAGAATCCCAGAGAGGAATTATCTCCATTTCACTGTCTCCTGGGTAGTAATCAGGACAAAAGGTCTGGGTGAAAGAAGATTGAAGAAAATTTTGTTATAGGTATTAATTTTGTGTCAGTGGAGGAAAGGCAACCATCCTGGCATCTGGGGAGAAAACACCTTAGACCACAGTAAGGAGTAAAGATAGGGTTTCACTCTGTCGACCAGGCTGGAGTGCCATGGTGTTATCACGGCTCACTGCAGCCTTGACCTCCTGGGCTCAACTGACCTTCCCACCTCACCCTCCTAAGTAATTGGGACTACTGGCATGTGCCACTATGCCTGGCTAATATTTTATTTTTTTTTGTAGAGATACGGTCTCACTATATTTCCCAGGCTGGTCTTAAAACTCCTGGCTCAAGGGATCCTTCTGTCTCGGCCTCCCAGAGTGCTGGGATTACAGGTGTGAGCCACCATGCCTAGCTGGAAGGGAAACAATTAATCCACAGTTTGTTCCCTAGATCAGTTTTTTAACCATGGCACTATTGATATTTTAGGCCAGATAATTCATTGTTTAGCAGTTAATGCTGGCCTCTACCCACTAGATGCCAGTAGCACCTTTCCTCTAGTTGTG